GGTTTGGTATTCATGAAGTTCCTAAGATGCTCTTTGTCATGAAAGCATCTTATTTCTCCATCAATTTAGAAAGAGTTTTGCATGTTACATCAATCTGGGTTGGAGGCTATTTTCCTTTAGGGCTTGAAATGCATCGCTCCAAGCTCTTCTTGCCTTAAGGGTTTGTGTTGAGAATCTACTGTGATTCTGAGGAGCTTTCCTTTGTATGTGATTTGTTTCTTTTCTCTCACTGCTTGTAGCTTTTGTTCTTCTGTTGGATTTCTGGAATCTTAACTATTATATGCCTATATGTGGATTTTTTTTATCAAGCCTAGTTGGAGTCCTACATGCCTCACTTATTTGTATGTCGAGTTCTTTTCTTCTGCTTGGGAAGTTTTCTGCCGTCACTTCTGTGAACAGTTTTTTTTATGCCATCTCCACTGTCTCCCGTTTCTTCATCGACTCTCATCAGTATAATGTTATTCTTCTTTGCATTGTTTAGCAGCTACTGGATTGATTTCTACTGGTCCCTTACTATTTTTAAGAAATTTTTCTTTTCCTGGTTACTAATTGCAATCTTATCTTCTGTATCTGAAATTCTGTCCTCACATTGGCTCATTGTGCTGCACAAACTTTCAATGGAGTTTTTAATTGCCTGGAAATCTGTTTGGATCTGTTTTATGGATTCCATTTGTTTCCTATGTTGGGATTCCATCACGTTCCTCAGCTCCTCTATTTTTTTATCTGTGTCCTCTCTAAACTTTTTAATCATGTCTTGCACTATGGGCACAATCTCTGCTATTATCTGAGAAATTATTTCTGATTTCATTTTTTCCAGATCTTCTTTTGTTGCCAGTTCAGGGAGTCCAGATGGTTGAGTATCAGATTGTGTTCCATCTCGTTTACCTTTGGGGTTGCTTTAGGTGATCTGGGAGTCTGGTTCTGAGACTTGTTTAAGTGTCTTCTCATTTCAGTTGAGGGGAGAGGATTGTGCTGCTGGTGACCACGTGGCTCACCTCCTCAGCACTGGGGGCAGTGGTAGAGTGGCCCAGAAGGTTCACCTCCTCTCTAAGAAACTATGCTTGTAACCTTATTGGTTGATCATAGCCATAACCCATGTTGTACCCATATGGGTTTTGCTCTATAAAACTTCCCTGTAAAGTGGGGTCCCCAGCTACCCATTTAGCCCATTTAGGTCCCCTCTGGCCTCTCAGGAGTTATCCCTTCAAAATATATATATATATATATATATATATATATATATATATATATATATATTTATTTATTTTATTTTTTTTTTTTTTTTGGTACCAGGGATCAAACTCAGGACCTTGTGCTTGCAAGGCAGGTGCTGGAACCACTGAGCTAAATCCCTGGCCCAATAAATAATTTTCTACTCTAAAAAAAAAACAAAAAACAAATCAGGTTATAGCATAGTATAATTAGTAATTTGTACAAAGCTCTTAACATCATTTTTTTCTCCTTCATCTTTTTTTTCTTTTTCTTTTTTTTCCTCCTTCATCTTTAATCCTTGCTCTTATTTTCCTTTTCATATAAATTTCTGCTTTTGTCTTGAGTATATTTTCCTGCATATATGTATGACTCTTTGTAAATAGATACCTTGTATGTAATTGTGTTTTTGGTTTACATCATAGTTATATATTGTTGAGCTCATTTTGTTCATTGTTTTCATTGAGCATTGTTTGTTGCTGTTGTTTTTGTTTGGTACCAGGAATCAAACTCAGGGCCTCATGCTTGCAAGGCAGGTGCTGTGCCACTGAGCTACATCCCTGGCCCTCAGCATTGTTTTTAAGGTCTTGCCTCATTGCTGTCTGTCCATCTAGTCACAGTCAGATGTACTGAGGATTAGGACTTCACCATATAAATTTGAAGGCAACATAACTCAGACCAAAACACCAAATCTATAGAATTTTACCTTCTGATTAGTCTGTTTGTATTCTTATTTAAGAAAAGTTTCCTATTCTATGTTGCTTTTCATTTTGCTATTTGATTCTTTTAAATATAGTTTGTATGTAGATTGTGTAGATTTTCTGAGTCCCTATAAAATTATCTTTATTTTTTATCATACTTGACTGCTAGTTTGCTTCAGTAGAGAATTCTAGCCTTAAAATAGTTTTCTTTTAAAACTGAAGATATTACTTCACTGTCTTCTTAGTTCATTTTTGCCAGTGAAAAATCTAATTCCAATCTGATTCTCATTTCTTTACAGGAAATCTATTTTTGCTTTTTGGAAATTCATTTTTATTTCCCTTTTATCCTTTGGAAATTTTACCAAGAAGCATCTATGTGTGCAACACTTTTCATTCATCCTTTTAGGTACCTCAAGAGTTCTTTGAAAGATGTGTGGATCCCTTCATCTTGGAGACACCCGGCCCCACTGGGGATTGAACCCAAGGGCGCTCTTCCACTAAGCTACATCACCAGATTTTTTATTTTTTCTTTTGAGATGGGGTCTCGCTAAGTCTCTTAAGTTACTAAAATTTACCATCCTCCTCCCACAGCCTCCCAGGCCATTAGGATTACAGGCATGCACCACCATACATGGCTGAGAGCATTTTTTATTTCCCTCTTTACGTTCTCTGCATAGTCTTCCTCTGGAATTTCCTCAGTTGCTGAAAGTTTTGTATCTATTCCTCTTTTCTACCATACTTTATATTTCTTTGTTTTCTAAAATATTATACTCAACTCTATCTTCCATTTTATGAATTAGGTTTTAAGCTGGCCCTTTTTGTATAGAGCATATTTGAGTATCATGGTTGGTTATCATATTTGAAGTTTATAAAATTGTTAATAGCTTCATTTTCACAAAAACTTGCTTTTGTTTTAGGAATGAAATAACCTTTTGAAATTCTTACTCTATTTTAAAGTTTTTATTTTTTGTTAAATACACTTTTTTAAGGTGATAGTTCTGTTTGGTTTTTTGGTGGGTTTTTTTTTTTTACATTTCATGACTTTTCATACTATTAATTTTCCTCAAATGTTAGGGGATTCTTTATTGTTCCTTTTTTCTTGCAGCAGCCTCCAATCAGATTAGAATGCAGGTTCTGATGCCTAGAGTTGCTTGCCTGATTGTGAGGAGAGCAGGTGTTTTATGCAGGCAGAATGCACTGCAATCCATCCTTCTCTGTTTCCCCAGATTACTGGTCACACACACACTTGCAACTGCATCCTGTCCCCTAACAAACTCCTACTTTGTTCATTGCCTAAAGCTTTTTCAAATCCCTTGCAGACCCTCACCTATGAGAATTATTTATGGCAGGTATTGTTCCACCTCCTCTTACTGTTTATTTTCGTGTGACCTTTCTCATTATCAATATGGGAAAGAGGTGGGGTTCACCAGGGTAAAGGCAAGTGACCCCTGCACAGCATCCTGTCCCAGCAGATGCTCTGCTTTGTTAGTTAGGTTGAACTCAGCTGTTTATAGCCTGTGTATAGCCTCAGTCTGATGGTCCCAAGAATTAAGTTATTCTGTAGCCTCCTCCTTATGACCATGTGCTGACTCTTATTGCAATCTCTCCTGAATTTACTGACTTTCTATTTCTAGTAAGATGGCAAAGAATGTTTTCCAGAATGTCTTTTATATTTTTTTCTCTCTAAGCTGGAAAGTTTTCTGCTCAGTATGGCCTCTTAGGATCTCTAAGGCTAGAGAGAGTTTGCATGTTGTGAAGTCAAGAGGCAGGTGCCTGTGGCTGAGATCCAGTGGGTGAGGGGAAAGTAGCATGGGACACGATTGGAGAAGTAAAGGGGACCTGGGAGTGTGGGGCCTCAGAGGCCTGGCTAAGGGGTTGGGATTTTATCCTTACTTTCTGGAAGGTGACACCACTGTGTTCCTTTTTTCATTTCACATTGGAACTAGTCTAGGAGGCAGAGGGTCTAGGACCAGACCCTGACATTTCTGGGGGTCAATCAGTGCTTTCACCAACTTTCATTCTGTTTCTTTTGTTTCAGAGGTTGTGTTCTTGTCTTACCCAGGATTTTCAACCTCAGAGGTAGGGACTGCCTACTTTATATTTGTGTACTTGAATTAGAAGATCAGCTTTATTTTATTCATTTGTGGTCCTGGGGATTAAACCTAGGGTCTCACATATGCTGGGCAAGTGTTGTACAATTGAGCTATATCCCAAGCCCAAGAACATTAATTTTAACAGACAAAAACCCATAATAGGACCACAAGAGGCATTTATATAGATCTCACTGAGAAAGCCCATTCGTTGAACAGATATTTGGTAAGTACCCACCAGGTACCAGACACTGGTAGTCCTGAAGATGCAGGCGGGAGCTAATCAGACAGACCCCAACCCTTGTCAGCTTGTTCTGTCCTCAGATGCTGTCTGGCAGAGAATGTTAACAGTGGCTGCTTTGAGTGGTACAACTGGGTAGGGCTGCCACCAGGATGAAGCCCAGAAGCTAAGAGTCCCCCAGAGCTGGAAAAGTTCTTTATCAGATGCACTGCTACCCAGGATTGAACCCTCGTGTCAAATACTGAGACACTTGGTTTGAGTACAGAAAACTGAGTTTTCTCTCAGGGCTAATTCTCACTGACAAGCTCATGGAGACTGATGTACAAAGCTACATATTGATTTGTTTATTTATAAGAAACACAACTCTACATCTGTATGAGGAAATTATACCAGTTAGCTATTGCTGTGTAACAAACCCAACAGTTATCAACTTCAAACGATAGCAAGCGATTATTTCTCACAGTTATTTGAGTGAGCCAGGTGGTTCTCTTCATTTCACCAGAGCTCACCCAGGCAGCGGCATTCAGCTGCAGGTTAGCTGAGAGCTGTACTCAGGTGGACAGTAGGCATGGCCCTCCCTCCCTCCCTCTCTCTCTCTCTCTCTCTCTGGAAAGCTGCAAGACTCTGGCATTCTAACAGCGTAACTTTTGCTACACTCTTTTGGTCAAAGCAAGTCAGAAGGTGTGCAATTCTGATAATTCTGATGCTAACCAGCCCAGTTCGTGCAGACCCAAGTTTAAGGGCACAGTTCCGCAGTTTAGATGCAAGCCCCATGTTTGCACCTCCCCCCGAGGCTATCCATACTTATGATCAACTACTGACTAATTTGGGATGGTTGAGACTAAAAGCCAGATGCACTAGGTGTGGTGGCACACACCTGAAATCCCAGCCCTCGGGAGGCTGAAGCAGAGGATCACTGAGAGCTTGAGGCCAGCCTGGGCTACATGGTGAGCTCAAGGCCAGCCTGAACTACACAGTGAGACTCTGTCTCCAAAAAAAACAACAAAAAAACCCCAAAAAACAAAAACAAAAAAACATACGAAAAGCCAGCTACATCTCCCTCTAGCACAGGGCTCTCTGTCCCCAGCAGGGTAGGCCATCCCCTCAGGTCATTCGACTTGCCCCCTGCTGCTCACGCGGTCCTGCTCCAAGTTGGAAGTTGCTCGGTGGAGAAGACTGCCTTGCCAGACTATCACCGGACAAGGCTGAGAAAATCTCCCAGAGGGGAGATGGACACCTCAACTTGCCCCCACGCACACAGTTGGTTGCAGGTTTGCCAGTCTACATTGCAGAAAAGTGTTTCAGGATTCAGTAATGGGCATAGACAGGTTTACTGCACAGAGTTAAGGAAGTACACACTCAGAGGAAACAGAGTGTAGGCGCTCAAGGAAGACCCTCATTCTAGTCTGAGGTTATGAGTTTTTGTGTGGTCTTGGGTGTGTCCTCAAAATGGATGATCTAGGACAGTGGTGGCGAACCTATGGCAGGTGTGCTGAAGCAGGCTGTTTGCTATCATTGCAAACTCTAAAAGGTTTGCCGCCACTGGTCTAGGATATGTTTTCCTAGTGTCTACCAGGTTATCCATTAGTGCACTAAGTTAGAATGCAAAACATTTGCATGTGTTTGAAGTTTAGAAATATGGTACCCAATTAATAGTGCTGCTTCTTTGAGGGTGGAAGTCTGCAGAGTGAATCTATAGTATTGGAGGAAATGGCAGGCTCTATTTACAGATGAGTTTCCTGAAAAGGGAAGAAAAGCCATTGCAGTCCTTGGCAAATCTGTCCTGAAGCTGTGATTTTCTTAAAAGTATGATTTTTAAATTGTAATTTTCTTGTCTCCTTTCTACTATTTTTCTCCCTATCTTACCTGAACACCACTGTCCCATTCCACTCTGCCCTCTCAGAGACTGTGTTGGGTTGCCTGAAGAAGGGAGTCACACATCTCCAAACAGTATCAATAGTTTTTGTTCTATTCTCATCCATGACTGCCCTATGTGATTTGTGTGGCTTTATAAGTTGGCCTAGGATGACACAAATACTTGACCCACAGTATGTGGGTCAATGAACAACTGTTCATTAAGTGAACAAGTGAAAATTGAATGATTTCCTTAACAGGAGATAGTGATTAATTGAGATTGGAACATTTAGTTCCTCCTAACCTAACCATTAGTCCAGCATCTACCCATGCAATAATATACTTTGGTCCCACAAAATTCAAGAAATCAGTGAGTAAACTGAGTTAGACATGGTTAATTCAGCAGCTTCCTTTTTCTGATTGATCAAACATGTTTGCCCTGAGGCAGTCTGGATTGTACAGAAAGACCATGACCTTGCAAGTGACCCAGGTGCATCGTGCCATGTTCAGATCCCCAAGCCTGGCTTGTCTTCAAGATTTTGTTATTTTATCCAGTGGGATGGGGCAACATACCCATCAAGACAGGTGTCCAAGGCTCAAGTCACTCCTGCTCTCCCTCTCCCTGCTAAAAAATATTTCCCTGAATGATGTAATTTCTTGCCCTTTGCCTTCGGGAGAAATTTTAGCTCTTCCTTTTAGAAGGGCTAATTCAGGTTCAGCTGCTGTAGGGTGGAAGGTGGGAGGTAAACCAAGTACCTCTGATGGTTGCAGCAGGGCTATCGTGTCCTGTGGACTCAGTACTTGAAACTGGAACTTTGGGTGCTGAAGAATTAGCTCACCATGTGACCTCATAGTACTTGGAGCCAAATTTTGGCCAATAGTGACATCTGCCCTTATGACCCTAGGTGTCTCTTTGACCAAGTCTCTATAAAACTCATTCTTTTCACCACACTCCAAAGGAAAGGTCTTTGGCCACTGGTAGCTTCATCTTCTTTATCAGCCTCAACATTGACTCTGACTTTTCTTTTTTCCAAGACAACCAAGGTATGTTCACTTCCTCCTATATTTGAGATTCTTCCTGTGAAGTCACTGAAGGCCAGGAACCAGACATTGGCCCCTCCTTTCCCAGAGCTGAGGTACCTCAGCCTGGCCTACAACAAGGTGACTCCCTGCTTCTTGACCTGTTTCCTCAGGGGCACAAATGGGAGGTGGGTTGGGAGCTGTTCTGACCTAAAGGCCAGCCCTTTAATTCTCTGCACCACAGGTATGTGGGCCCAGAAATTCTTGGGGTGGGGAAAGTATATGGTACCCAGACCAAGGCAGAAGTGTCTCCATGGAGTCTCAGATATTTATTTAGCACTTGCCATGTGCTAGGCTCTGTGCTAGTCATTAGGTATACAGCCATGAAATGAAAGACTTGTGGAGCTTGTCAGATGTAGGGAAGACATTCTGGACAGACAATCACAATATAAGTATGCTTAGCATTAGGAAGAAATGCACAGAGCTGTGAAGGAAGTACATGATGGAGGTGGGTATCTAACCTAATATTTGGGATCAGGGAAAATTCTCAAGAAAAAGTAATGTTTAAGCTAAGATTTGAATAGTCGAGGGAAGAGGGAGGGAACTGAAGATATAAAATCTATAGGATAGATTTCACATTTTTCTTGTATTTTTCCAATGCCAGGTCCTGTCTGATTTTCCATAAAAACTCATTCATTCATTCACTTATTTATTTATTCACCTATTTATTTTCTTACATATTTATTGTGGGTGCCAGGGATTGAACCCAAGACCCTATGCATACTAACCATGTGCTCTACCACTGAGCTACCCAGTCCCTGTTTTTATTTTCATTCAGTTAAAATGTTTAATTTTTCTTGTAATTTTGCATTTTAACCCAATTTGTTGAGACATTAGTTGTTTAATTTCCAAATTTATGGGGCTCTTCTCAGCATCTTGGATTTATTGATTTATAATTTAATTATTGGGCTGGGAGATGTAGCTTAATGGTAGAATGCTTGCCTAGCATGCACAACCCCCTGAGTTCAATCCCCAGGACTTAAAAACAAAACAAAACTAAAACTGATTCACTTCTCTTGTGGTCAGATAACATAATCTGTAAGAGTTCTTCTGATATCTACTTCAACTTGTTTTATGGTCCAATCTATGTGCTATTGTGGTGAATGTTCATATGTACTTAGAAAAAAAATGTGTATTCCGCAGTTTGGGTGGGATAGTGTTGATAAATGTCACTTAAAGAGGTTAGAAGTGTCACTTAGATCATCTTTGTACTCTTGTTTTGTCTATTTGTCTCTCAGGTACTGAGAACAGGGTGTTAAAATCTCCAGTCGTGGTTGTAGAGTTTTTTCATCTCTTTAGTTCTATCAGTATTCCAGGTATTTTTTTTTATTTGTTTTGTTTTGAGACAGTGTCTTTCTGTGTAGCTCAGGCTGGCCTTGAATGCACTATGTAGTCCAGGTTGGCCTCGAACTCACAGCAATCCTCCTGCTTCAGCCTCCAAACTGTGGGGATTACAGAAGTGTGCCACCATGCCCCATTGTCCAGGTATTTTTAGTCTGTTATCAGGTGAATATATGCTTAGAATTGTTATATCTACATATGGATCCTTTTAAATTATAATTATCTCCCTCTGTTTTTAATAATACTCCCTCTCTTCATGTCTACTTTGTCTGATTTTAATACAGTTAGTTGCACAGTTTTCCATCCTTATGGTTCGCATGGTATCTTGCTACCCTTGTACTTGTAGTCTACTTATATCTTCATGTGAGTGCATCTATTTACACAGCAGGGAGTTAGCTGGTCCTTGCCTGGCTGCCATGCTGTCGTCCCAGTGTCCCTGCTCTGTCTTCGGCATTCAGCCTCCCCTGTGTGCCTGTACCGCGGAGGGGTTTATCCACTCAGGTCCCTCCCCTGCTCTCCCACAGAGGACTGCTATTGCTTGTTACTTAGTGCTTGCCAGTGCTTGCTTACGAGACTGGCTGTGGCCCCAGTCTTTGGCAGCCTTGGGGTTCTGTGTCTCCACAGAACTTGTGGTCCAACTCCTGGCAGTAAGAGACCTCTACTCTTCAGGACGAAGGTTAGTTTTCTGCTCCTGCCTCAGGAGTAGTGGGGTTTTATTTTCCCCTCCCCATATGCCATGCCCTGGGCTGCAAGGTTTGCTGTTCTTCCTCAACAACTAAAGACTTTTGTTCCCTAGGGAGAAGGGCTGAGGGTGAGGCCTCTCCTACCATGGCAGCTGCTCTCTTCCAGGCCCATGGAAACTTTTTGCAGTCATCTTTTCACATGAGTAGGTGTGAAGCCCCTGTTGTCCATGGCTCTCAGAGCCTCCACTTTCTCACTGTAGGCCATACTTGGTCTTCCACAATTATTAAAAATTTTAGCCAATTTCTTCTTCAATGCTGGTGTTCCACTACAGGTGAGCCAAGGTCTGTGTTTCATCTCTCCTTACAGATCCGGAACTTTCCTTAGATTTAAGGCCAAAGGAGTTCTCTGAGACTGTAGCTTTCTGTTGCCCTCAAGAAAAGTTGTGATTTTGAAATAAAACCAAAAAAGTTATGATTTTATGATATGATATATGATTATATGATATGATGTATGAGATATGATTTTATGAAGTTTATTAAGTTTTTTTCTTCTTGTTATTGTAAGGGCAGCACTCTTTGCTTTTCTATATTTTCACCTGAGTTTTTAAGTAGTATTTTTCTTTATAACAGTTACCACCTAGGGCCCGGGATTTAGCTCAGTGGTTTCGCTGCCTACCACGCAAGTGCAAGACCTGAGTTCGATCCCAGGTACCAAAAAAAAAAAAAAAAAAGTTACCACCTGTATTGATCATCTTTTCCATTGGTGGACAAAATAACTGACCTCAGTGACTTAAAGGAGGAGAGGTTTATTTGGCTCACAGTCTCAGAAGTTTCAGTCCATCATTGGCTGGCTCCAAGCCAGAAATATCACACAGAAGGGCATGGTAGAGTAAAGCTGCTTGGTTCATGGTGGTGGTGAAGCAAAGCACAGGAACAGTGCCAGAGAGGAAGGGACCAGGGATCAGATGTAATACTCAAGGTCATACCTCCCTGACCCAACCATATACATCCAGAAGTATGCTTTACTAGTCTTCTAGGTGGCTCTCAAGGCAACCCAGTTGATAATCCAGTTAAATATTCCACCCCTGTCAACTTGAAACCCAAACATATCTCCTTAAACCATTCTTAATCTCCAAAGACATAATTCTGTGTAACATAACTGTCCTGTGTACAACCAAATGTGCACTAATGCCCTTCCCTACCTAAGTCTCAACAGTTTTAGCTTTGCTCAAAAGTCCAAGTCCAAAGTCTTCTATGGGATTCAAGGCAAACTCTTAGCTGTGAGCACCTGAAAAAATTGAAAAAGCAAGTTTCATATTTCCACTATACAGTGATAAGGGAGGAATAGGGGGACATAAAAGAATAAGACCAAAGTAAGACTGAAACCCAACATGGCAAACATAAGTCCTGTAACTCCATGTCCAGTGTTGGGGCAAATAGTGAGATGTGAGTTCCAGAGGGCAGGGGTGATCCTACCCGCATAGCCTTGCTGGTTGCATACCACATGACCTCTCTCTTGGGCTGGGTTCATTCACAGCCTGTGGCTTTCCTCAGCAGATATTCCACATTCTTCACATCTCTGACTTCCTGGGGTCTCTAGTGCATCTTCAGTTTCATGTACTGTAAGTCCTCAAGTTACAAACATTTGAACTTTCACTTTGTTGACTCACTTTGCTGGCTTACAAATGAATCCAACTTACAAGCAATTCCCCCTGAATGGAACTTATTTATAAGTCAGGGACTTACTGGAGGTCTTTGCCTGGCTTCCCAGGCCTTCCTTTGAAATCTGGGTGGAAGCCTTCCTGACCCCACAACTGTTGCATTCTGCATTCCTGAAAAAGTAGTATCACATGTATAATGCCAAAGTCTGCTGCCAGCTCACTCAGTAACCAGGTCCCCTTGGACCATGACTGCAGTAGCTTCTGAGTGCCTGGATGTCTAAGCATAGGGAAATGAATCCCAGGGAGCTAATTCCCTAGACAACCCTTCTCAAGCAAGGGCCTAGGGGCTGTCCTCTCAAATGAAATATTTACACTGTTGCACCCTTGAGCCTATGATAGGTGGAGTCTTGACGATTTCTGAGATGCCCTCAAGGCATTTTCTTTCTTGTCCCAGTTCAAAGAATTTGGTGTCTTTCTAATGGCATTAATCTCTTCAGTAAAAACACCTCCTGTGACCCAAACTTTTCACACAATTCTTTTTGTGCCAAACTTTAAGTTTTTCAAATACTTTTGCTCTGCTTTTTTGTTTCAGTTCTCATTGTGTATGTGACTAAAAGCAACAAATAGTAACCATGCCACAGCCTGAGCATTGGGCTGCTTTGAAATGTCCTCTACCAGAACAGTTAGTCTGCCACCTTTAAATTCAACCTCACACAAAGTTCTAGAACATGGATAAAAATTTAGACACACTTTTTGCCAGAGTGTAGCATGCATGATCTCCAGCCTAATCCCCAATAGAGTCCCCATTCCCAACTGAAACCTCATGAGCCAGGCCTTTACTATCTGCTTTCCTATCAGCATTCTGGTCTTCTGAGCTCTGACCAGAATCACCCCTTTAGGCTCTGCTTACAATATTCAAGAGCTTCTCTCACCCACATCTCCAAACCTTTCCAAACTCCTCCCAGAAACCAGTTCCACAGACTTCTGAACCACATAGTCAGGTATAGTCTCAGCACCAACACCACTTCTCTGGTACCAATTTTTGGTATTGGTCAACTTTCCTGTTATTGTACAAAATACCTAATACCTTCAACTTAAAGGAAGAGAGGTTTATTTGGCTCACAGTTTCAGAGGTGACAATTCATAGTTGGCTGGATCCAAGGCAGAAACACCACACAGAAGCTCATAGCAGAACAAAGCTGCTTAGTTCATGGTGGCTGGAAGCAGAGCACAGGAACAGTAGCAGAGAGGAAGGGGTCATGGATCCGATATAATACCCAAGGTCATGCCTTCCTGACCCACCCAGACATACCCAGAGGTGTGCTGTACTAATCTTCTAGGTGGCTCAAGCCAATCAAGTTGACAATCCAGTTTAACTGTCATATCACCTAACATGTTATCTATGTTTTTGTCTATAATCAGGCCTACTAACACAATATTTTTTTTGCTTGCTAGATATTGTTTTGTTTACATCTATACCCTTGGTGCATAGCACATTACCTGGAACATGATAGCTTGTTAGATGAAAGACGTTTTGATCATGTAAAGAAATACAGCTACTTGTATTAAAACTAATACTCAACTTATTAAAGTTACAAATTTTAAAATGAATTCTGCCTTCATGCACAATTTATACATGTAGAATATTCACTCAGAAATCTAGAAATATTGTGTCAAAGGAGAAATAGTCACTTTTACTCAATTTAACCCATATTTACTTATAGATTTTACAGAATGCTATATTCTCTTTAACTCAATGAAATTGGGAAGAAATGTAAAGTTATTATGGAACCTAAATATATTTCCAGGAGCTTTCAACTACCCCTATAGGGAATAGGTCTGATGGGCAGATTTTGTTTACCACATCAACCAGCATCCTAAATCCTTGTCTTTCTGTTGGAGCTTAACTTCACAGAAAGCATGACACACATGGTCTGGGTACTATTCAGATTTCTATCAATTTTAATTATAACTTTTTTCAGCGTTTTACTCACCTCATTTGGATGGGCAGGATTTTACATCCTGACAAAATTAAATTCAATTCTCCATCCTCTCTTTGTAATAAGTGACTGCCACGTTTGAACAGAAGAGGCTCTGCATCCTCTTTAGCCACCACTATGCACACAGTAGGCATCATTATAGTTCATCTCATTCTCCTCTGGAGTCTAGAACATAAGTCAACAAAAACATTTTATAAAGGCTAGATAATATTTTATTCTGTTGTGACTGCTCATCTTTACCTTGTAGCATAGGAGGCAATGTGTAAAGGGAGGGAGGACCATGTTCTAATGAAATCCATTAAACAGATAGATGTATTGGCCAAGCCTGGTCTTGGTACAGCCTGTGCACCAAGAGTAATTTTTACATTTTAAATGGTTCAAAATATTTAAAGATTAATATTTCATGGCACACTAAAAGTATATGAAATTCAAATGTTGGAGTCCATAAATAAATTTTTATTGGAAAAGAAACACTATAACTTTATGTATTGTCTGGAGTTGCTTTGGGACTATAACAGTAGATTTGAGTAGTTATAACAGACTCTATGGCCTGCAAATCTCACAACATTTACTATCTGGTCCTTGATAGGAAAGGTTTACTGACCCTTGGTCTAGAAGATCAAAAGCTACACTTCCTCAAGGCCCTCTGCTAGTCCCTTTCTCCTCCTACTCTGTACTCTATTCCTAGGCATGACTTCAGATGCTCATTGGCCCATTAACAGTAACTCACAAATTTCTAAGTCCAGTGATACCTAGCTCTGTATTCCAAAACTGCATATCCAATTGTTGATTTGATATCACTACTTGGAGGCCTCACATGGACCTCCAAAGTGTATATATCCAAAGTGAATTAATGATTTTCCCTCAGTTTTTATGTTCTTTCATTGGTCCCTATCTTAATGAATAGCTCCACCATCCATCCAGTTACACCAAAACTTAACATTTCTCTCCCATTTATGTCCTCTTCCCCCATCTGCCTATATCTAATTCATCACCAAGTCAATGTAGGTCTTTGTATATCTTAAATCCATCCACTGGCTTCCACAAGAACAAAAATCTAGTATTAGTCTGGCCCCTCCAGCCTCATTTCACACCAATGACCTATTTTCTCTCTGCTTTAGTCACAGTGCTCTTCTTTAAATTCCCCTAACAGGCTCTGAGTCCTTTTCACACACTGTTCTCTTTGCATGGAACCCTTCCTGTCTACATTAGACTAATACTAGCTGCTGCAACACACTTGAACATCTCAATCACTTAATACAATAAATGTTTATTTCTTGCTTTTGCAAAGTCCATTGTGGATATTCCTGGTTGGCAGGTAGCCTTCCACATAATCATCCAGAGACAGAGATGCCATGTGGCTGTGCTTCTTTCATTTGTAAGGTTTTAAAAACCTGTTAGATTCCTGTATATCTGGGGGGAAGATGGTTGAGTGGTGGGGAGTGTGATGAAAGAAGTAGAAGATGTGTAAGAGGTTCTATGTAGGCTGTGAGTGCAGTAGCATTTATCATTTGTGCCCAGAATTGGCTAGAATTAAGTCACATGGCCACACCTCACTGCCTAGGCAAGAGTCTAGTTGTGGGATAGAGGCAGGGAAAATGGTTTTGGTTAATACAGAAGTGTCTCTGTCATAGCCTCCATCCCACACTGTATTCACTGATATCCCCATACCCCTGTTTCAGGGACACCTTATTGTTCCTTTCATACTTGGTCAAAGACCCTAGTGCCTCTTGCACCTCTCTTTTGTGGCACTTACTACAGTTGTAAATCTACACTCCTTTATGTTATTGCTTCCTTACGACTTGTTTCTCAGTAGCCAGTGTCCTTGAGGGCAGTCATCATATCAGCTTTGCTTATTCCCAACACAGTGCTATGGTACAGTATTCATTAGATATTTGTTGGCTGAATGACTAAGAATGAACAATAATGAGTAACTTCATTGCCCAGTGGAGATCTGGTGCTACCCAGTGAGGCTACAGAGGAAGCCAAACTGAAGTGCCCTTCCCTACCCTTACAGCTCTGGATCTTAGCACCCTTGGTGGGCCCTGCATTCAATCTGCACCTTTCAGTGTGTCCAGGGGTTGAGACCCATTGCCTCATTCCTGGGCCCTCTGATTTGCTGCCCTGATGGTGTTCCACTGCTAACAGATCCCCTCCCCAAGATAATCCCCATGTATTCCAGCCACTGTTCAAAAAGGACAGTGTAATTTTTGCCTGTCAGAGGCTAGCATGGCCAACAGGTCACTTATAGGCCAACTTCACAGGCCCAGACAGCCTTGAGGTGTCCCTTTCAAGGGCTCTGCTTATCCCTTATGTGGGCGGGTATCCTGCCCTCCTGCTTCTCCCCTCCCCAGCTCAGTGCCCAGAACTGGTGCCAGGAAAGAAGCCCACAGGAGTGCTACTGGAAGACCAGTGGGTATGTAGAGGTTTGTGTTGAGGAAGGTGAGATGTCAGAAAATAAGGTTGCCTTGCCAACCTTCCAGACTCTTTGCAAGACAAGTGCGCTATGTTTGTTCTTATTTTGCCACAAATATGCCTGATGTTTGATGTGGGCTACATAACCAATGTGGGGAAGGAAAGTTAGAGAGATGGTGGAATGTTAAGACAGGAGGGCAAGGCATTCTGGGCATGAGCAGGTGACATTGCAGGGATGAGGCATTGCCCATGGTAAGTCCCTCCCACAGCATCACCGCCCCTCCATCCTTGTCCTCACATGCATCCTGCCCTGCAGGCCCAACCTACCTGGGGGAGGTAAGGGCTATTATGAACCTTATGGACCTAAAGGTTCCCTTGCATTTGTTCCAGATTGCAAAGGAGGATGCTCTCCTGCCAGTAGCTCTCTTTCCATCCCTCTGTGAGCTCGTCTTTCATAACAATCCTCTGGTGACTCATACACGAGGTAAGGACCCAAAGCCCTCCTCCACCCCAGTGTCCACAAAACAGTGCTGGCACCCTTGTCCACATCTTATGGATGCCAGGCCTTGGGGTCTGCTGTATTGGGGTGGGCAAGGTTCATGGTACTCTGGAAATGGAGAACACGGCAGACACTGCTGAGTACCTGCTCCATCCTAGCGCATCCTGACAGTACCATGGGAGGTGGGCACTATTGTCCCCATGGATTTGGGGGAAACTGGAGCTCAAGGAGGTTCATGATCTGCCCAGGGTCACACAGAGGTCTTTTCAGTGTTGTGAAGCAAGTCTGTTGTGGTCTCCTTTCCTGCCTCCCATGTAGGGTGGATGCAGGCCCAGCTGCAGTGCCCCTTCTCTCTGAGCATGTGGATGCACTGGTGCAGCATCCACAGTGGATCCTGCTGACCACCATGCAGCAGCTGGAGGCATTTTAGAGTCCAGGGCATCCAGTGATGGTGGAACTCTAATCCCTGCTCCACACTCCTTGGATGCATTCCTTAACCTCTCTGCCTTGGTTTCCTTGCCTGTTGAATGGGAGTAATATGGTACCTACTTGCTAGGGCAGGGTAAGAAAATTGGGTAAATTACATTGATACATGTAAAGCAATTTAAAGAGTACTTGGAATATAGTATTTTAAAGTACATGGTAGCTAATAATCATCTTATTTTCCCATCATGGCACCAGGGGTTGCTCCACTGCTAAAAAGCTTCCTCCAGGAGCGACTGGGGATCCACTTAATTCGAAGGAAAGTAGTAAAGGCTAAGCATCGTATTTTGATACCTCAGAAGGAATCACAGAAGGTAAGTTTTCCAAAGCAGGAGCCCTGGCCCCAGAGGAAGTGGCGCCTGTTTTATGTATGCAGACTAACCCCTCTGTCCAGCTGCTCTCCCTCACAAAACCTGGCACCTCTTGGTTACACATAGTATTGAGCCCACCAGTGAAGCAGGCCCAGCCAGGGACTGTCAGCCTCTGATCATTTCTTCCCTTGGGAAGACGCTGGGCAGGCAGGGGTGGGAGAGAGAAAGAGCACCCCTCCAGGGCTCCTCAGACAGCTGAGAGAGTCAGGGATACATGTTGCTCCTTCCCCACTCAGCACCACCTGTTGGCTCTTGGCGTTTCCAAAGCCAAGGCATGGTGCTGCTCGTTCCCCTGTGGCATGGGTTTTGAAAAAAGACTCTAGGTTCCTTAGGCTTTAAGTCAGAACACTGAAGTTTTACATATTTTCAAGAAGGGATTATTTTCTTTAAAAGGAACTTATTTATAAAACAGTCATCCTTCACACTCCCAGCCTTTTAGGTACATTTGCACATAGCATGGGAGCTTTTCTCCTGTTTCACAAGGAAGAAATGGAAGCTCAAAGGATAGAACCATATTCCAGCCCACAGGGTTTGGGATCTTTCCACTACACTACTTGGTCAGCAAGAATTCACATATAAGTGCACTAATACCTTCCACAAAGAATAAAAACAACTCACTATGTAACCAGGGAGGGGAGGAACTATACCCAGCTGGGGTAAACTGAGTACAGGTGGCCTTCTGGCAGCAGAGGCAAAGGAGGAGAGAGAATGCTGACAGTCTTTTGCTAGTTAAGGCAACTGAGCAGTTCAACTGAAGGAAAATTGTTTCCTTGGTCCTGAGGCTTAAGAGATTTGTCTTTTAGATCTTTATGTAAGGTACACAGACTAGCATCCTGAAAGCAGCCAGTGCTGCCATGTTCCAGAAAATTCGGAACCATCTCCAAACCCTCCCCTCTTAGGAGTTCCTCAGGAAAGTTGGGGCTGCTGTGGTAAACCTTGATTTGAAAAGTGAGGCCACTGAAGGCAGAGTTATGAGTCCTAGAGCCTAGGGCTAGAGTCAGAGTATCCAAGCTTTGCCACTGAGCCACTCTCTGACCTTGGACAAGTCATTTTACTTCTCTGAACCCCAGTTACCTCATCTATAAATAAGGATATTTATTTTCTGGGTAGTTTTGAAATATAAATAAATAAAAGAATTATGCTGTGCACAGGGCACATGATAGATGCCCAGTGAGTGTGACTTCCCTCCCTACCTCCTCCGAGTCCTTATCTGGTGCTCTGAGCACTCTACATGAGAAACTCAAGGGGAGAAACTGCTGACTAGAGAGCAAATCCAGTCCAGTCTTTCTCCCGTGGCAGGTGAAAACACAAGGCCCCAAGGTGCCGAAGCAGCCTCTGTTGCTCCATCACCCACCTTTGACCACAATCCGGTCTCCCTCCTGGGATCTGTTAGAAGCAGAGGCAGGCCTGGCTGAAGAGCTGCCCCCTGTCAGAAGCACTTCTTTGGAGACACATCCACACATCAAGGGCCCAGAAGGCCTTAACCTGTCCAGTAAGAGCTTTGTGCCACTGCCTGCTATCAGCTCTGACTCCACTGTGCATAGTGAAGAGACCACGTCCCACCCGGGCAACACAGCTGGCTGCCTCAGCCCAGGGCCCCGATCAGATGAGGACACCAAGAGCACAGAGTATATCTTCTTGACCCAGGTGCATGTGAATACTTCCCTGCCCACTATTTACAGTGTCCACAGGTTCCTGCCAAGCCCTTAGTTAAAGGGACTGCTGTGGGGAGCTGAGGCCACATGCAGTGCAGGCTGGAAACGGGAGGCAGCAGCCTTGGCAAAGCTTGAAAGACCCTTTGGGAGAGCCACTGATCTGAGGCTACTGATGGGGACATCCGTGGGGACGAGTCATGGTCCTGAGGCACGGGCAGCATCTGGGGTCTGATTGGGGTGTGGTGCTGATCAGTTTCTCAGAGGAGTCTGTTGCTGCCTCTGCCTCCCACTTAACATCACCCCACTTCTGATGCTGCCTCTGGATCCTGAGAATTCAGATGACTCAGATGCAGGCTCTCCCCTGAAGTGCTCAAAGTCTAATGAGAAAGATGGCCAGGAACAAGCATCCAGTCAGGGTCTGGGGCCTGGAGGAAGGAGGGATGCCTCTGCCCCAGACCCAGAGGGCTCCAAAAGGGTCACATGAACTGAACTTTTTGGGCTGAATAAAAGTTAGCAAGGGAAAGATATAGGCAGAAGGGACAGCATGAAACAGGGTGCAGAGGAAGGAAATTAAAATGAGAGGTGCAGGAACTGGGAATATTAAACATCACTCCAACAGAAGGGTGGTGTGCAGGGGAGGGGAAATACAGCTTAAGCATCCCTAATCTGAATACCTGAAATCTCAAATCCAAAACTTTTGGAGTGCCAACATGACCACAAGTGGGAAATTCCACACCATGAAACTTTGTTTCATCCATAAAATCCCTCCAAATGTTGTATAAAATCACCTGCAGGCTATGTGCATAATGTATCTATAAAATATAAATGAATTTTGTGTTTAGACTTGGGTCTCATCCTCAACATATCTCATTATGTATATGCAAATGTTCCAAAATCTGAAACACTTCTGGCTGCAGACATTTCAGATAAGGGATCCTCAACCAGTGGAAAGCTGGAAGAGTTGGCAGGGTCCCCTTAAACTTTATTGTTATATCATTCATCTACTTCTAATCTTGCCTCAGCAATCTGCCCATAGCCAGATCTTTTTAATATGTATATCTATCTATCCATCCACCTATTCATATCTAATTCTCTATCCATCTCTTTCTTTAATCCACATGGGATATATAAATTCATACACTATAAAATTTTCTTTTTTTTTTTTTTGCTGGCACCAAACCCAAGCCTTTATCACTGAGCTACATCCATGACTTTTTATTTTTTGACAGAGTCTTGCTAAGTTGCTGAGTTGCTTGGGCTTTGCTTGAACTAGTGATCCTCCTGCTTTAGCCTCCCAGAGTGCTAGGATTATAGTCATTCACCACCATGCCTGGCCAGTTCGTGTTTCTTATAAAACCATTTGGGTAGGCTAAAATCCTCCCTAGCTTGCCACAAGAATGAGGATAAAGAAAATACAAAACACCCTCAGTTTGGCTTTAAAGGTTCTAATGGGCCTGTGCCTTGCACATCATTCTTGTCTGTCACTTCACATTGCTCTCTAGCTGTACCAGTCTTTAGTCTCCCAAACATACCTTGATGGCACTTTTGTGAGTGTTCCTCCTTGCCCACCACGGCCATCTTTTTCATCTCTTGCAATCTACCCCTCTTCCCATCCACCACTGGGGACAGTTCTCCTGGTTCTTCAAGACTGAGCTCAGGCTAAGGAATCACTCCTTTCAGGGAGCTTGCTGGCTGGGTTGGGGCTTCCTCTGGGATCACCTGGAGTTACAATGCTTCCTTCTCTTAACAGCATTCAACCAGGTGTTTGGTTCATATCTGTCTCCCTGTTGGCCTCCTCAGTCCCAGTCTTAATCTTGCCCTAAACAGGTGCCCCACATGGAGACTAGCAGAGACCCATTGTTAAGATGGGTGCAGGCATGAGTGTTTCCTTCCTGACATAGGTGAGTGAGCTGCCTTCCTCCATCACCTGTGTGGGTGATTTAGAGGTAAAGGAGAAAGACCAAAGGAGACTAGTGACAGCACCTTCCAAGGTGAAGAAGACTAAGAGGAAGCTCCCATCTTCCTCCATCCCCACCAAGTACCATGGATATGAGGAGCTGCTGACAACCAGACCCGATCCAGCCTTTGTTGAGCCAAAAGGTATGTGAGGCCATCTGTGAAGCCCCAAGCAGGTCACAGCCAAGCCTGCTGTTACTGAGCCTGCTTTTCCAAATGTCAGAGGACCTCTTAGGGTGTCCTGACTTGAATTCATCCATGGCAGGATCCCTGTTCTTCCCTGGGCTTTTACCAGCTTGTTCAGAGATTCCAGCTGGTCTGGCCCAGCTACTGTGGTTGGAACAGCCTCTCCCCAGGAAAAGTTTGATGAACAAGCTCAGACTGGGCAGATTCCGGAGCTCTTCCTAGCCCTGTTAAGCTCCAAATTGAACATCCCAAATCCCGTTTGGTTTGAGGCAAGGGAAGTGGCTCCCTCCATAAGCCCCTTATTCAATCTAATGTGTTAAGAGCATCTATGCTCCCAAAGGCACTGGCCATCAGCTGGTCTCTCCTAGGTATCAGTCCCTGTAGTATAACCCACCCCACCGCCCCGAGGTTAATGGGATCACTTTAGGTCAGTGCTCACCAATGTTGTTGCCATTGGATCTGTGCTCCTAGGGGATGTATTCACATGACAAATGATGGAATTTGGGGTACTGAGGGATCTGGGAGCAGTATTTTCTTCTTGAGGACTCAAATCCTCTTACCCAGGGCTACTGTGAGGCTGCAGAAGTTGGGGGAGCGGTTTTCATTTTAGCTTCCTGCCCCAGGCATCCAGAAGAATGCACAAGCCCTGCAGCAGATGCTCAAGCACCCCCTCATCTACCACTCCTCCAAGCCCAAGCTGGACTCTTTTCAGAAACACTATGTCCCCAAGGAGAAGAAGGTGAGTATCCAGCCTGCTGACTGAGAATGATCCCGGAGGACCCTCACGGGCAGAGATGTGACTGTCACTTGAGACCTTCTGAGGTCCATGTTTCTCAGTGCTCCCAAGTGGCCCCTGCCTGTTGCCCTGACTATATGAGGTGGATAGGAAAGGCTACATACCAACCTGGGATACCACCCTCCTTCCTTACCTTCTGCCAGGTCCCGAGGATTCTTGTTCCACCCCCACCAAAGACCCGAGCCCAGCTGCTGGATGACACCCTCATTCGCATGCGGGATCCCCACATTACAGAGGCTCCATTAGGTATGTCTCTGCCTTCATCGAGGAGCCAGGCTGCTAGTGTGAGGCAGAGAAAGGGCTTGTGGGAGCAGGAAGGGCCTTTCGAGGGAACCCCACCCCCACCCCCACACCGGTCTGGGTGCAGATGGAGAAACAGACTGGGCTTGAGGGAGGGAGTTGCCTAAAGTCACACAGGATGTTAGGGACCTACACCGAGACTGGAGATAAAGAGTCTGGAGGGGAATCTACTGACTTCCCACTGCCCCAAGCTAAAAAGGCCATTTTTAGTCCCTGTCACCTCCTCCTCCCACTCCACCCCACTTTCACCTCTTCAGGTTGGGCAGGGACTGGCGAGTTTAGCTGCACCCCGGCTTCTCTCCCGGTAGGTTCCGTGCTGCGCCAGCAGGCAGAGCCGCGGTTAATGAACCGTAAGCAGTACCTGGAGGCCAAGCGGCTGCTCAAGGAGTTCCAGGAGCGCTACCGGCGGCTGGTGCGCGGCTCTCTGCGGACTGTGTTCGGGGCCACCCCAGCGCCTCCAGCTCTGCCGGCGCCCAGCGAGAGCCCACCCAAGTTTGGCCGCTTCCTCGAGCTCATGGACGAGTTCTGCCAGGAGCCCACATCCAGTGACTCAAAAACCTAGGGCTGTGCGTGGGTCATGTGTGCTGCCTGGCCAGCGGCCCCGTCCTCCCTGAGGCCTCTGCACCCCTGAACGTGCCTCTGCCCGGCTGGGGCCTAACTTGGGCCTCCGAGCTTGCCTTGACCTTGCTTGCTGGTCACAGAGTGAGGAGCTCGTCAGGACCTCACACTGGCCCAGCAGCAATAAAGAGTGGGTACACAGAGCCGCTGAGTGGGCGCCAGACATTCTTCCTTGAACGCCAGGCCAGGAGCACAGCAACATTGTCACACTGGGGAGAAGTCCTTGCTGGTGTATTCACCTCAAAGGTCCTGTGGGAAACTCACTGGAGTCATGCATAAACAGCTGTGGTAAGTGTTAGGTCAGAAAATGGGGGGTGGGGGGGGAACAGTAGCAGCACAGAATCTAAGGTGCAGAAGCTAATGATTTTGCCCATGGGCAGTACAACACAGGGAGGGCAAAACCAAGGCCAATAATCCCCTGAAATGTGCTTTTTCTGTTGGGCAGCTTTTTCCATCGTAATGAGGAAGAGGAGATTGAGTGTTCCCTTATCAGACAGCCACAGTCACAAAGGTGGGGCAAGTAGGGAGGGTTTATATGGAGTTTCCCAGGGTCCTTCTGTGATCCAAGACACAAGCTAAAGATACAGAAGCAAACACAGAAGGCCATGGCTCCAAAACACACCTTGCGGCTGTGCAAAGTCACAGGGGCTTCCAGAAAGTAAATAGTTCTGACAGTAGGCTGTAGGGTTGCCCCATGCTTGATGTATGATTAGTAGGCAGCAGCACATATGGATTCCAGGGATGATGCTGGGTATGACCTAGTCGTGTGAGCAACCCTTTCTCCTCTCCTGAGGATGCCTGTAATTCAGACCTTGGTAGCAGGCCTGCAGTTCCCAGGGTCTAGGAAGTAGTAGCTCAAGAATTAAGGATCCTCAGCAAGGTACATCCCCACAACCTAAACTGTAACTAAATATTTGCATACTATTGTACTCAACTGCAGTTTCACAAGTGGCCAGTTAAATTTTTATACTCAGCTTGGGCACCCCCCACACATGTATACACACACACATATTCATCATCACAGCATGCTATACAGGTCACACCGAGTGACAAAAGGTATGACTCTGTTGATACAGGCACCTGAACAGATGTAGGTAATATATTGTAACCCACAACAGCAGTCATATGCACAGGAATGTTGCTCACCAACTTGAATTTCCTGGGCCCCTAAACTACCCTCCCCACTGTCACGCTCACCAGGTTCCAGTTCTGACAGCTACCTGGATTGTGCTTTCAGCCATAAATTCTATCAAACCATAGGCTCCCAGATCTCCAAGGCTCCTGGGCATGTCCATCCCAATCTCAAGGAAGGCAGCTTCTTGCCACCTCCCTAGTAGTTGAGATACTGTGTGCACATCTAGTGACTGGGAGCTTGTTCCCTCCAAAGGCTGTCCTTTCCTTTGTTGGAAAAGCTGTTGGACAGTTCAAGCCATTGAGTTGTTCTGCCTATGTGCCTCAGTGGTCCCAGTTATGCTTTTTCAGCCAAAAGTATATCTGCTGTCTGCCCACCCAAGTCAACCCTTCATTAATGTCAGAGTATCCTGAAGGGGGACACTTGGGCCAAACACTACTTTCTTAGTTAAGGATAAATAAATTGGTTGCTTCTCCTAGACTTGCGGAGATTCCGCTGCTCATTCTAAATTTCTGATCTAAGCTTTCTTATCATGGAGCTATAGAGAATGGTAGATTTTGTGCTCCTTTTCCCTCACCCATAACCAAATGCTATCAGTAAAGGACTGCCAAGAAGGAAGCCAGTACCCAGTGACTGCCCCTTCTCTAGGAAGATCTGACAAGACCACATGGTGCTGTTTCTTACTCACCTTTCAGCTGCAGTTCAGGTGTCCTTTAGTCTTTCCAAACTGAACCGTTTTCCTAGTCATGGATCCAAGACACCAGTGAGCACCTTAGGAGTCAGATGTGGCCAGAAGAAAGGTGATGTGATGCAAATTGTGCCTCACATCCCTGCTGCCTTAGGATGCCTCCCTCCCCTACAAGTGGGTACAGAGGGAAAACTGTGGTCTCTATCCCTGCCAGTCCCAGCCGACAGCAGGGTGGGGTGTATGGGTGTCTATCCCAGAAGACAATTGGAAGGCTAGTTGTAGAGTGGGATCACCCTAAGGTTGGTTTAGGCCAAGGTAGCAGAAAAAGCAATTAGCAGCTTTGGAATCAGAAGCTTCTAGACTATGAAAAACTGTCTGGTCCATCTGTAAATGAGGACCACACCACCCATCATACCTAGCTATGAGGGATTTAATGAGTGGCACACAGAGTAGTTAGTTTAGGGACTGAGAGACAACCAAGTACCGTTCTCTCATTTCCAACTAGTTGCACTGTTCATTTTAGCCAGCCTTCTTTTGAAGGTCTTGGGCCAGATTATTTCAAAGGTCTCTCAAGTGCTAGTTTACCATGTATGACATTTACTCCTAACAATCTTCCAAATTAATTTCCCAAGTTTAGATAGAAAAAAGATACATGCTGAGTATTTTGAATTCCTAAACAATTGTTCCCAAAAAAGGACATTTACAAAAATCAGATTTCTAAGTACAGCCCTAATGTGCAAGGGACAGTGTCATCCATATTCATTCTTTACTCAAATTTTCTTGGTGCCTCTATTAGGAATATGAATATAAGGATGACAGTAAACTGTAGATAACTTACATTAAAAGATGTAATTGTACACTGTGTATATAAATTCTATCCCACTTCCTAATATCTCCCACCATTCTGAAGGCCAAAGAAGGTCATTCGAAGGTATTCCCCAGCATAAAGATAGCACTAAAAGTCAAACAACACACAGTCTAAGCTTATCCCATGTTTGTCTGAGACTGTTCTTTAGAGACAAGAATTTGTTTAGAAACAACATTTTCTTTCATGAATTTGCTTTACTGTATTCTCAACTTGGGCCTTGCCTCAAGCAGGCAAATACACATTGAAGAATGCACTTTGGTACTGTAAATAAACAACACATCATCCCACTTGATTCCACACCATTTCATTGTGGCAGAAGCATCCTGATAGGGCATGGCCTTTTCCAAATCTTTGTCAAAATTATCTTTATAATGAGTTGGAGAAGTGGCAGCCTGAAGTGGTAGTCCCCAAGGATCCAGGCCTCTTCTCCAATTCTATTGTAGACAGCAGGTTGTATACATTGTAACCACTAGATCACCAGGGAGCCACAGCAGGTTAAATAAAGCCAATAGACAACCATTTTCTATTTCTAGGCAGAAGGGGCAAAGGCCCTTTGGACAACTGTATTATACAAAGAACTGAGTAAACAGCACATCAGGCATAAAAAGAAAAAAATCTATTAGTTGGCATTTAAAATAATCATTTTTCCCCTTGCATAGTACCTATTCTCTTACTAGGACTTAAGTGCTCTGCTGGGAGGCTCAAGGTTAGTGATTATCATGTCTGATACAAACCTGACTGAGAGTGAGAGCCCCACTCACACTGGTGCACAGCTTGGAGGGGAGGCAGCGTCAACCAGGGAGAAGCCAAATGCTGCCACATTAATCTGGAACCAGGGCCAAAAGCTACTCTTGAGCTGTTAAGGGCTTTATATTTGAAGAGTGCATTGTCTGTACCTCATATTAAATAAAATGAAAGAAAGAGGAACAAGCCTTGCCTAGCCTTGGCTATGTCCATGTCTTTCTTAAGCCAGAAAAAAGATAGGGAGGGAGTCTGCTCAGAGTTTGAGGTTGCCTCTCACATAATTAAAAGTTGCCACCTTCTTGGCAAGATATTAAGGAAGCATGTACTCACAAAGAAGAGAGTACTTTTCTTAGAAAAAATACTGATAATACATAGAACAATCTGCATATTAGGTTTTGGCACTTTTTCCTTCATCTAATTTGATTAATCTCTAAACTGGTGAGCTCTGCATATCTCTAAGTCTGTACAGAACAAATATTCAGAAAGCTATAGTGGATGATGCACATGTGTAAAGATGCATTTCTGGGCCACCTTAATTCTAATCAGCAGCCTCATTCCCTAGAATCTGCTCCCACCTCCCCATAGACCTGCTTTCTCTTGGGTCCCCAAAATACATAATGAGCCACGTTCAACCTACTGACCAGGCCAAAAAACCATGTATGGGCTGACAGGGGAAAGGCTAACAAAAGATTTAAGACCCAAACAAGTTTCCAATTTTGAAAAAAAAAAAAAAAAATCAATGGCTCGCTAGCTTTTAACCATTGGTAATTAAAATGGCAATCGTAACCAAAATATGTCCCTTCTCAGGATTATACCTTTGTATTACACTGTGGGGCTTTTCTCTACCTGAGCATATATATTCAGGGAATATGGGTGCATTTTAACTGAAGAAAATCAGAAGAGTGAGCTACTTTTAAAAGTTCCTTTTAATTTGGGTGTCCCCTTCATTTGCAAATCGTGTTGCATGCATAACTTTATTTATTCAGGCCCCAAAACACTACACATAAAATAGTACACAGGGCACCAGATCATCATTTGTTTAAAAAAAAAAGAAAGAAAAAAAAAGAGGGATAGAGGAAGTTTGATAGTTTCCATGCTATTCTAGCTGGAATATACCATGATTATAATGTAGCCTTTATTTTTCTTCCTCCTGCTTCCTGCTGGCCTTCCACTGCAATGAAGAGCCAACAGTAAAAAGGAAAGAAATCCCAAGTTGCTACCAGCTCTAATGAGAGGTCAGGATGGGGAAGAGATTAGGTGGTTACTAAAATAAGGGGTGGACCACCTGTGACCATGTCAGCAATCTAAACCTGCCTCATTTCTTGGTGCTTGAACTAAAAGCTGCTCCTGAAGAGAAGTTATATTGTTCCATAATTACTACAGGAGAAGATTCATTCTCCCCTGGTAAAATTACTTAGGGAATAGAAAGCAATGTTATGATCAATTTCATAAATACTGGTGGGTCTCTATAAAAAGTTCAAGGCAGCCTGCTAGGTATAGGGCATCCTAAACAAGACCATTGAAGAACACTGTTATAAAAGAAATGGCCTTTTTTAAGACCATTAACACAATCTCCAACTACACATACATTCAAATATATTCCACTGGACACTGAGTTCCTGAAGATCAAGGACTATCTTTCCATCTTTGAATCTCCACAATCCAGCACAGGGTTGGCACAAACTTAAGAGCCTAAGAAGTAATCTGTCAAAGGAACTGAAAGGATGAAAAGCAACCAGACAACAGTAGCAGTCTCCTGTTTTAGTTGGTTTGCTAGTTTGTAAGCAGACAGCAATTACTTAAGTGCTTTAATCTCTTAGGGGCATTTTTATATGGAAAAATGAACAAAAACAAAAGAAAACACTTTATGACTAGTACTTCTTCCAAGGAAAAATTTAAAAATTAAAAAAATAAATGAAGCCACTTAGAAAACCTTTCCCTGGCAAGCCTCAGCCAAAAAGGCTTAATCATATTTTAAAGAGGTAATTAAAGGGGCCAGGGGACTGGGTGCCTAACCCTCTCTGAGTTGATGCCAACCCAACAGGCCCATATGTCTTCTAACAGATACAATCAATGCGTCATGGAACATGTTCCCAAAATGTCTTTCCTTCTCTGTGGAAAAGGGCTAAGAACACCCCTTCTGAGGGTGCCACATTTCTTGGGATTTCCCACCAGTATGGCCCCTATCCTCCCATCTCTCATGACTTCCCCTTTAATAAGAAAAGAATCCCTATACACAAGAACAGTTAGTAAGACAAGGGAAGATTGTAGAATGACTTGAATTTCAATGATTTTTAAATGCTTGATAGGTGAAATACTGTATCTCTTATTCTAGCATACCATTGTTCCCCATCATTTGGTTTTCCTTCCTTGTATTTTTCTTCCCCACCCCACCAAAGAACTCATGTCAACAACTCTTGTGACCAACTTGACAATGAAACAAGAAATGTTAATTCTTCAGAAAGAAAAAGCATTTTTAAGTATGCAAAGCATCTTAAAATACAGACAATACCTTAGTGGTTTGTTCCCCGCTTCCTCCAAAGCTGAGCAGATATAGATTAAGTCTCTCTCCTCCTTAAACTAAATAGCTCTGCCTATATTTAAAGGACTACTGCTCAGCAGGAAGTGTGGAAAATAACATCTCTACCATCTTCAGCATTACAGTAGGTATGTAGAGGAAAGACAGTAAGTTGAACCTAATGTTTATAACATTCACTTAACAAGAATTAGCTTTATGGGCTAGGGATTTAGCTCAGTGGCACTGCACCTGCCTCGAAAGCACAAGGTTCTGAGTTCAATCCCTGGAACCAAAGAAAAATAAAAGTAATAGCTTTTTACTCTGCATATGAAGTCTAAACTTGTTGCTAATGCAGGTTCTTAAAGTGAAAGTATTAATGGAAAAATATTTGAAATACATCCTTCATCTATTAAAATATTTCTTTTTACCAAAGCAAAGAATCAGTTCCAACTGAAAAGTGTTTTTCAAATTATTGGAGCAACAGAAAAAGATGGCAAGAGGTAAAATTGAGTGTCTTTGCTACCACCAACAAGATTAATATCTTCCAATAATATTTACTAGGATCAAAAAAGAAATACCTGAAATAGCAGTAATAGTTAAGTTTCCTCTATGGGCATTTATTAAGGTCACCCTTCCTGTCCTTTGCAGATCAGTGCCAGCTCTTCTATTTTGAGCATTAACATGCCCTATAGCAGCTCTTGGAGGTCATAAGTTGTGTAGGACCTAAAAATTAAGTGGTGTGAATATAAAGTAATGAGATTGATGTATGCCTTTATAAACATACATATGTACATACATGTGTTCACACACACACACACAATACATACATTCAGGTGAGTGATGTTCCCCACCAAAGTAGTCACTGGAAAGACCCACATATTTCAGTGATGACCACAATGCTTCAGGTATCTCTGGAATTTCTCTTTGGGAGCTGTTTGGGAACTATGAGCTGCACAAGAAAATGGCTCTAAATGCTTCACAGTGGCAATCATTTATGACTCCAAACCCTCTTAATAAACACACCTTCTTTCCCAGAGGCTTCAAACAGCTTCTCACTATTTTCAAACTTAAATTTCTCTCTCTTATAACTCCAAAAAATTGAAGATCTGCTCTGAGAAGAAGGTGCTATAGATACTCCCTTGAGCAGTGAGTCTGTTCTGGACTTCAGCCTCTGCCTTAGTAAAAGGAAGAGGTTAGAACAGACAACCATTAAGGTCCTTTCCAGTTCTAACACTTTATAAGAGAGTCTATGTCTTTAAATGTCTTTACACTTTGAAGACAGTTTCAGAAATGTTTTCACCAAAGGCAACATCCTTAGAAAAACTATGCAGTATTCTGCTGGGGCTACTCTAGGACAGCATACATTGGGATATATAAATTCTGGAAGGTTTGTTAAAATGCCAGTCACATAGGTATAGCAACAACTCATACATACACAGGGAATGCCAGCCCATCTGAGATTCCCTCAACTCCTATCTTAATCCTTATTCTCAATGAGCCCAGATGGGCAGAAGCACCAAGCACCACCAGGGATGCAAAAGACACATGGTGTCAGCTGCTAAGAAAAATAAACCCCAAAGGTCCATGGGACTGAATTTACCAGCTGCATCCAGCTAGATACCTTGTTTCCATACTATGGAGTTTCAGCACTGCTCTTTGCCTGACTTTGGGGCAATTTTTTAGGATTTTAGATCAACATTGCAGATAATTATTACCCATATGGAAAGTAATAATGAAGCCCCATTGTGGTTTGTCTCATAGGCTGGAACCCCTAGGAAAACAGAAGACTGTAAACTGGGGGGAGAGGGCAGAATTGCACAGTATATGTTTGTTTATCTATCAATCTTAACTTCTTTCATATAGACTTTATACTATCGGTGTTTAAGCCCGGCCAGCTCTCCCTAGGTACCCCTGTCATGCTCTTGGGTTGCAGTCCATTTGGGTAACCTGTTAGTGTAGAAAATCCATGGGATTTGTTGTCAGGAGACCCAGTAGTCAGTCTGGGCTATGTCACTTAGTAGAGAGAACCTGAACATCTGCACTGCAGTTTCATCATCTAAAAATGGGGCTAATACCACTTACAAGTTAGGTCTCTTAGGGAGACCAAATTAAACAATGTCTATGAATGTGCCCTGGAAACCATACAGTATTAATCATATGTTATTTTTTTAAGCAGAGAATGTAAATTAACTTTCATAGAAGCATATGCTTAATCAATTTAAGTAGGTATTGTTATTTGTGGTAAGGGGAAGAAAAAAGAGGAACATAATCTGTCATTTTGGATCTTCCAAAGTACTAGACTGCTCCACTTCTTTGAAAAAGATGTAATTAATTTTTATCTGCAAGGTTGATTTAAAACAACACCCTGTTGAAAGAAGTCAGGAGGTCATCAGTTTGAGAAGGTATCCCCTCTTTCCTTTACCATTTCTAACTCTGATCATTATGCTTCTGAATGAGGCCATTCCAAATCTCATTCCAAGTGGGTACTGCCAGATGTGGCCCAGAAGCATTCAGAAGGGGGTAGTCAATTAGGGGGTGAGGAGTGCTTCTGGTTTGGGTCACAAAGAACAGAGAGGCAGTTGCCTTGGATTTTGACTAACAAGGCCCCGGTACCTCTCAAAACCATATTAGACAGTATTTTGCATTAAATGAAACCCAAAGTGAGAACACTCAACTCTTCAGATAAATGATCAAGACCAAAGACCTCTTAAAAATAGGTAACACTGTTCATTAAGTGCTACTTGGCCCCAGCCATGCTGCTGGACCGTAAGAGATACTGATCCACGCTTCCTTTTCGGCGACTCACAGTCCGCCTCTCATTGTCAAACATGCGCTGCAACTGCAGGGCCAACTGCCGGTCCTCTTCCTCTTGCTGCAATTTCTGCTCCATCTCTCGCAGTACTGGGTCTGCTGGGGCCAGACCAACCTCACTGCTGGTTTGTCGCAGTTTCTTGAGAGAGCCGTTTTGTTCCAGGTGCTTGGTCTTACAACGTCTTTTCTGTCCCCGACGCAAAGAAGGAAGTGGTTCCTCTCCTAGGCTGTCTTCCAGAACACCATTAGCCAGATCAAAATGATTTAATGTCTTCAGCTGTTTTTTTGTTTTGAGGACCCCACCCAAAACATTGCTTTTTGGTGCCACTGAATTAACTGCTGATATTTTCATGGCTGTACTTATACAGGTTTTGTCTAACTTAGCATCTGGGGTTGACCCTGACCCCTCAAGTTGCTCCCCCTTCAAAGAAGTCCCTCTGATTCCCTCTTTGAGTTCTAAGGAACAGGTTTCCAATGGGATCTCAGTGCTTCTTTTACTATCACTGCCCTGTTCTGCCTGTGTTTGGCTAACAGAGGGGAAATACTCAGGGTCAGTGGAGGTGGGTCCAGTATACTCAGAAAGTATCTGCCCACTGGACAGTCTTGTATTTAAAGCCAGAAGTGGCTTCTCCTTGCTAGGGTGGGTAACTTCAGAACTTAGTAAGTCTTCCCCTGTTTCAGAGACCAGGGAAGTGAGAGTGGCTTTTGAAAGGGTCTTTTTGATCTGTCGCTCCTGAAAGATCTGCTCCCACTTTTTGAGGATCCGTGGACTGGCCTCATAAGAAGTCTGTTTCTGCAGGCTTCTGTTTAAGTTTCGAGGTGTTGACTTGATGATGAGGGGACTTAGTACACGGCCATCAGGGAGTCTCTTGGGAGGAGTACATGGTGAGCAGACAATGGGCTTGAAATGGTTTAGTTCTTCGGAGATGCTGTCATTGCTCTCAGGACTAATGGAGCGCTCTGGCTTATGCAGGGAAGCCAAAGATGAAAAGGAGCTGAAGGGCAGACGCTTTTCAATGGTTAAGTCAGGTGCTGAGAGACAGCGGTTGTTCTGAGTGGACAAAAGGACACCAATGATGGGGTTGGAGGCTGGATTCATAGTTGTGACCTGAAAGAGATTAAAAACATTATACATACATACATACATACATACATACATACATACATACATGTATTTTTTTCTACATAATTCCTTTAGATGGTAGAGGGATGAAAAAGGGAAGAACAAGAAAAGGGATAAAGGGTAATGTGAGCCTAAGAAATGGGAAAAAACCCTAAATTAAAGCATACCATTCATTTACCAGAAACTCCTACACACTTGAAACAACAGCATTAAAAATCTGAAGGAAGGGGCCGGGGATTTAGCTCAGTGGTTGTGCTGCCTGCCTCGCAAGCGCAAGGACCTGAGTTCTATTCCCAGTACCAAACAAAACAAAACAAAACAAAAAAACACACACACACACAAAAAATCTGAAGGAAAAACAAACTCAGCTAGAGGTGTCAGGTTTTTTTCTTTTTATGGTACTAGGGATTGAACCCAGGGTCTTTGCACAGAGCCACATCCTCAGAACCCCACCTCCTTTTTGAGACAAGAGTCTTCTTAAATTGCCGGGGCTGGGCTTGAACTTGTAATCCTCCTGCCTCAGCATTCCAGAGTGCGGAGATTAAAGGCATCTACCACCACACCTGGCTAGAGCTGTTAAAAAGGTTTCTCTAATGGCCCTCATATCACCCATCTGACTACTGATTTAAACCTTCCTTCACATCTTGTGTAGAATCCTCTGACATAACCAATGGCATGCCTGGGACCCATTCTACTTCCTCATCTAGAACAATTTCTCCCATGGCCATGTGCAGAGGAAACTAGGAAGTAGGACTAGAGAGCCTGCCAGCCTGTGGCTGAGATGTACCTTGGCTTTTTTGGTTGGAGCCGCTCTCAGTCTGCTCTTCACTCTGTCCTGAGCTGTGTCACTGCAGCTCTGACTCCTCTGAACCCTGGAGTTTAGCTTCCTATAAAAGAATAAAAGACAAACAGTCAAAATTAGTCCATATACTAGTTTAGGAAAAAGATGACAATCTCTTTTGCATATTCCAAGCCACTCACCAAGAAAGACAATTCCCTTGGGAAGCTACAACAGAAAATGAGTTAATTTATTAACAAAACACATTCTAAGAACACACCCTACCTTAAAAAAAAAAAGGAGGACATCTGGTTTAAGCTTTTGTTTCTAAAGTAGATACTGCCTAAATAAGCCAAGGCCAATAGTTGTTTTGTCCATGCTAAAGAGATAGAGAAATATTTCACCTTTCTTAATTGAGTGTATTAAATCTCCTTTACAAACAAGATTTTCTTCATTAGGCCTGAACCTCTCAAGAAACTTGAACTGGCCATGAAACAAATATTGAAGTATTTACAAAAATGCAAAGCAGAGCACTGTATTTTTATATAGGAGTCAAAATTAAATGTAGTCTCTTAATTCATTACATTTGAGTTTCTGAAGGCCCGAAGCCCAGTGATTTAAGAGACTTCAAGGACACATTTTTGTCTTATTACATTGGATACTACAACCAAAATCAAACTCCATAATATCCATACTGCATGCTGAAGTCCACTACATGACAGCAATGATAAATGCTATAAGAGATGAATTATTATGTACCGAAGTTCCCCCAATGTTTTCTTCTACTGTACATTATTTAGATCTCTGATTCACTCTGCGTTAAACTTTATGTATGGTGTAAAGTTGGGGTCTAACTTTGTATTTAGCTGAATATATATATAAATCTTACGAGTTACAATCACATACAGATAACTGTCATCTGCCCCAAAGACTATAATTAATCTCTTTTTCATCCTTGTTTCCTACTCAACTCTCACCCACTCTACTTACATTTATTACATACTTAGTATGTGATGGGCATGCAAAGCCCTCTGTTGGCATATGAGCCAAGTTTCCCCAGCAGCTGAGCACTGGATGACAATTGTTTTTTTCTAAACTAAAAACCTCAGTATTCAGGTTTAATTGCAGTGTTGGTACTTTGAGATAAATAAGTGGGATTGGGTTGCAGTTTGGGCACTCAGTCTCTAAAAGGTTTGCTATCACTGGTCTAGGTCTTCAAGGAATCAAAGTTCAGTGAGGCAGTCAAATCAATACAGTAAAAGTAAAAGGGCACAAAAAAAGTATACAGAAGATGCAAAAATGACACAAAAGAGAGCATTATGAAAAATCTAAGGTGAAATGAGAATAAGGTTGGAAAGCCTATCTATAGCACACGCATTTGATGGATGAACAAGTATTTTCCATAAGTCTAAGTAAATGCACAAACAGAAATTATCTTCCTAGAAGTCACACAAACTGTCAGTTGTGTAAGCCACCCTGAAATAAACAGGATGGTGGATTAAAATGCTGGTGTTAACAGTGTACATTTTGGGTCAGGAGAAAGAGATAAAGAGCCAAGAAAGGCAGCATTATTATTTCAAATCTGTAACTTTTGGGTGTGATTCCAATGGAGAGGCAAGTAGGCAATAAGAGAAAAAGATTTTCTGATCAACATGAGAAAGACCTTTATAACTTTCCATAGTCAGAACAGTTCCCTGATAGCTGCCTTGGCAAATACTAAGCTCAGTGTTCAACTTAAGTCTCCCCTAAACCTTAAGTTCCAAATAGCCCATGAAGAATTATTTTAAAATAATTTTCCCTGATTAAACATGTACTTATTTGATACAAGCTTTTTTTTTTTTTTGGTACTGGGAATAAAATTCAGAGTCTCTCACTTGCCAGGCAGGTGCTGCACCACTGAGCTACATTCCCAGCTCCTTGATACAAACTTTTGATTACAGGGTCGGGGATTTGGCTCAGTGGCGCCCGCGCCTGCCTCACAAGCTCACAAGATCCTGAGTTCGATTCCTGGTACCGCAAAACAAAACAAACTTTTGATTACAAGTTTCCAGAGTTCCATTAAAGTTGATTTTGACTATTTTTTGCCAAAAAGGATGGGCTTCTGGAGTTCCCTATGCTGCCATTTTTGCTGATCAGGCAAAGTATCTTTAAAATACAAATGAGATATATTGGATACAGATAAGATATAAGGCAAGAAGGGGATTTTTATTACCATGGCAGTGCTCTGAAGCGTATTTCTAGGGATATGGGGTGTGAATTCTGACCTAAGTGTCACTAAAATAATGAATGTAAAAATATTCTATAAACCAAACATATTATATAGGTAATACTGTGTCTATTGCTATTATAGCATTTGGTTAGGTGAAGAATATTCAAAATACCAAACTTGATAAATATTTTTGGAGTAAAAAAAATTCAAACAATACTGCCATCTAAAAAAGAAGGTAACTTCTTTTTCCTCATTTGTGCACATCCATTACTGCACTCCCAAATGCAAACACAGTACTTGGTACACAGTGAATATATTCAATAAAATTTACTAAAAACAAACAAAAATACAGGATGTAGAAAGCAGAAATGTCTCCCTTCCTTAATGGAAAGGGGAAAAACCCTCAACATTTACTTGGACCCCATTATCTGTCAGGCACTGTGCTAAGTGTTTTGAATATGTTGTATCCCATTTAACCCACATGTATACTCTGAAATAAGTATCAGCATCCCCAGTTTGTAGACAGAGAAATGAAGGATGTGATCCTTCCTTTCCTACATAGCTGAAGCAAATATTTAAACCCACAGTATCTCTCTGATCCAAAGCCTGTGTTCTTACTATTACAGCATACTAAACTAACATTCTGCTCTATTCTTCCATATACTCAAGATACCTAGGAAAGCTCTATATAACACATAATGAACTCATAAACAGGAGAAAGCAGTATTATCTGAAAGTCAACTGGCTTAAAATTTCCACTACCAAGAGACCAAATGGTTTTCTGGGATATATAATAAGGCTAAACAGACCAACAACTACAATGGGTCTGATTTACAAAGAAAAGCAGTCAGTATAAACATCATCTGGAAAGCTAAAAGACTTAATGCTTACAAAACACTGTTTAAAGGGGTTCAAATGATAAAGCATGATTTAAATGTTAGATACCTCACACTCTTGGTTGCTTGTTCATGATTTTGTCATTCCCATACCACACTAATTTCTTCATTATTTTCATTCCCATACCACACTAATTTCTTAATCATACCCTGAGGTCTAGAATATCCCGAGGATGGATACACACACAAACACACACACACACACACACACACACACACACGCCTGAATGAAATAAGACATTTCCATAGGCCTTGGAGCAGCTGCCATGCACTCAGAAATGAGTGAGATCTTGTTAGAATCCTTCTTTTTTTTTATGAACTGAAATAGCTGCCTTGTCTGTACTAACATTCTTTTATTTTTTAAATGTATAATTAACAATTTTTTTTTTTAGTTTTGTTTTTGGTACCAGGGATCAAACTCAGGACCTTGCACTTAAGCAACAGGCACCGGAACCACTGAGCTAAATCCCCGGCCCAACAATTTTAATATATATGCTGAGCTGAGCTCTTTAACCATCACAATAATCAACGTTAGAACTTTAGAACCTCAAAAAGGAAGCCTGTACCCATCAGTTATTACCCCAAAATTCTTCTCCAGTCCTAAACAACAACTACCCTACTTTATGTCATACATATTTGTCTATTTTGGACATGCACTAGTATAGTAGTACCCTCTTATTTGTGGTTTTACACTCCAAAGTTTCAGTTATGTGTGGTCAATTGTACTCCAAAAATATTAATTAGAAAATTCCAGAAATAAACAATTATTATATTTTAAAATGCATGCCATTCTGAACAGTGTTATGAAATCTCATGCCTTCCAGCTTCATACTACCCTGGGTGTAGACCATGCCTTTGTGCAACATATCCACAATGTATATGCAACCCAACTGTTAGTCATTTTGTACCTGTCTCAGTTAACATATTAACTGTTGAGGGTACTGTAGTGCTTATGTTCAGGTAACTCTCATGTAGTAACCTAATGTACATCACGATGATTATGTCATTCACTTCACTTCAACTCATCACGTAGGCACTTTATCCTCTCACATTATTGCAAGAAGGGTGAGTAATGCATAGTACAATAAAATAGAGTAAGGGAGAGAGGGAAGGAGAAAAATGATATTCACATAACTTTTAAAACAATGTAACTGTTATAACTTTTTTCTTTTATGATTAGTTATTAATCTCTTCTGTGCCTAATTTATAAATTGAACTTTATCACAGATATGTATGTATAGGGAAAAAACAGCATACATAGCCCTCAGCATTATCCATGGGTTTAAGTGTCCACTGGGAATCCTGGAATTTAACCCCAATAGTAAAAGGGGGAGTGCTGTACTCTTTTGCTGATAAATAAGAATACTCCTGTTTTCATAACTCTTTTGCAAAAAAAAACAAAAAAAAACCTAGCATAATATAAAAGGATTTGAGCCTCCTCAAACATCAGTATAACTGGATAGATGGTCTTTTACCCTCCTCTGTAGTAACTTCATTATTTTTTGGAACAAGACAGGGTATAAATGATTTTAAAAACAGAAGTAAAGCAATCTTCTGTTGCAAAAGCAGACATTTCAAGACAAAGATTCAAGTACAGGGCCTTTTTCACAGAACTCTGACAACACCTGAAGAGCATGTAGGTTTGGAATCAACAGAGAGCTGGGTCCCAAGTCATTCTGCTGACTTGAGAAGTTCTTGGGTGAGTTACTCTCTCTCTCTCTCTCTCTCTCTCTCTCTCTCTCTCTCTCTGTGTGTGTGTGTGTGTGTGTGTGTTTAGGTATGTAGTTTGCTGAAGAGTGGTCTCAGGATCAGCATGTCTGGGTTAGAATGCAGGATATAAAGCAGGACAGAGTACAGGGAGAGCTAAACTACATACATTTGTGTCAGAGGCCTCAACCTATCCCACAAGTTGCTCTGGAGCTGAAGTGGTTATTTCACCTCTTTGAGAACTATAATTTTCTTGGCTATTAAATAGGAGTATTAAAAGTTTGCAGGATGAATGTC